GTTACACATCCGTGTGGAATATATATATATATACACTCACCGGCCACTTTATTAGGTACCCCATGCTAGTAACGGGTTGGACCCCCTTTTGCCTTCAGAACTGCCTCAATTCTTCGTGGCATAGATTCAACAAGGTGCTGGAAGCATTCCTCAGGGAGTTTGGTCCATATTGACATGATGGCATCACACAGTTGCCGCAGATTTGTCGGCTGCACATCCATGATGCGAATCTCCCGTTCCACCACATCCCAAAGATGCTCTATTGGGTTGAGATCTGGTGACTGTGGAGGCCATTTTAGTACAGTGAACTCATTGTCATGTTCAAGAAACCAATTTGAAATGATTAGAGCTTTGTGACATGGTGCATTATCCTGCTGGAAGTAGCCATCAGAGAATGGGTACATGGTGGCCATAAAGGGATGGACATGGTCAGAAACAATGCTCAGGTAGGCCGTGGCATTTAAACGATGCCCAATTGGCACTAAGGGGCCTAAAGTGTGCCAGGAAAACATCCCCCACACCATTACACCACCACCACCAGCCTGCACAGTGGTAACAAGGCATGATGGTTCCATGTTCTCATTCTGTTTACGCCAAATTCTGACTCTAACATCTGAATGTCTCAACAGAAATCGAGACTCATCAGACCAGGCAACATTTTTCCAGTCTTCAACTGTTCAATTTTGGTGAGCTCTTGCAAATTGTAGCCTCTTTTTCCTATTTGTAGTGGAGATGAGTGGTACCCGGTGGAGTCTTCTGCTGTTGTAGCCCATCCGCCTCAAGGTTGTGCGTGTTGTGGCTTCACAAATGCTTTGCTGCATACCTCGGTTGTAACGAGTGGTTATTTCAGTCACTGTTGCCCTTCTATCAGCTCGAACCAGTCTGGCCATTCTCCTCTGACCTCTGGCATCAACAAGGCATTTCCGCCCACAGAACTGCCGCTCACTGGATGTTTTTTCTTTTTCGGACCATTCTCTGTAAACCCTAGAGATGGTTGTGCGTGAAAATCCCAGTAGATTAGCAGTTTCTGAAATACTCAGACCAGCCCTTCTGGCACCAACAATCATGCCACGTTCAAAGTCACTCAAATCAACTTTCTTCCCCATACTGATGCTCGGTTTGAACTGCAGGAGATTGTCTTGACCATGTCTACATGCCTAAATGCACTGAGTTGCCGCCATGTGATTGGCTGCTTAGAAATTAAGTGTTAACGAGCAGTTGGACAGGTGTACCTAATAAAGTGGCCGGTGAGTGTATATATATATATTACCGTGGTTGTTTTTACTAACGGTCATTCATTTGCGCTCGGATAATATCTACAACTGCCAAAGTTCAATTTTAAATGCTTCTTCAACCCTGTTATACCACATTTGAACGCAATTTTTGCATTACGCTGCACTGTTTTTCGTTGTTTTTTATGTAAACATGCGCTATACTGTACACACAAGGCCCATTCACATTAAGATTGATAACTATAACAATATATTTGCGTCCACGTTAACATCCTGTTTGTATAAGCACATGCTGCATTTGTCGTCTGCCACTTTAAATGCTTGGATGGATTGTGATTGGCTGTCAGCGATTTTATCGTTCATCAGCGGGAAAGAAAAAGACGTTCTGAAAGTGATTGGTGTGGTGTGGACGTTGCTATTAGAACAATTATTATAACTTTATAGTTATAGCTAACTATAAACACCAAAAACGATAAAGATAATATCTATATTAGCGTCCAACACACGATACCATTGGTTTATTATAAGCGCGTCGCAGTTTTATCGTCTGCCGCTTTAAATGCTCGCGCTCTTTAAACTGGGGCTGTCAATGTTTTTATAATTCATCAGCTGGGAAAAAACATTCGGAAAGTGATTCCAACGATATCGTCGTGATCGTTATAGTTGTGGCGTGGACTCAGAGAACTAGAATGATTGCTAAAACTTTAGTTAAACTTCTCATCCTTTGTGTGAACGGGCCTTTAATCTGCTTTCTGAGCCATAAACTTGATAGATGTTAATAAATGTAATTCAAATCATTTTGACCCATGTGCATTTCTTTAGGTTTTCATTCTCTTTCCTTTAGTCCTACCGCTAACAAAACCAAGATCACACAGGCACACAGAAAGCTGATGATTTTAAACCATCCTGACCGAGGTGAGACTTTCCCTAGGGGTTCATATTTTGTCATAACTTAATCATAACAGAAAAGAGTTGACTGAATTCCCCTGAGCTGTCGCTGTGGTTTCTTCGGCAGGTGGATCCCCGTATCTGGCCACAAAAATCAACGAGGCTAAAGATTTACTTGATGGACAAACAAAAAATTAATCTTCATCGGATGTTTGAACAAGCCACTTGAATTATTTCCTGATCATTAAACACCATGTTGTCATCTCCATCTGATCTCCTTTTTGAGCTGAATGTGGACCCAAATCAGATTCATTCCCTTTTGTTTAGGACAGTGTGAACAGCAAGATCACATTTAATCTGAATTCAGTTAATGGTGGGCCACTATCGTGTGTGTTTGACGTATGAAGCACGGCTCACACCAAACAACTTTCTGTTGGTCAACGCAGTGAATTCATGTAACCAGATTGAACCTGTTGTGAAATCACATTTAATCTGAATTCAGTTCCAATGTGGGCCACTATCGTCAGTGTGAACAGTCAAGTCAAAAGGTCAATTTGCCATCTTTTGTTCTGAAGTTTCAATGAGTAAATCAACAATATATACAATACTGTACAGCATAACCAGTGTAGTCCGGTTAATGAGCCAATGACTCCTATGAACCGGTTCTTTTAAATGACCAGTGTAGTCCGATTCATGAGCCAATGACTGCTATGAAACCGGTTCTTTTAAACTAACCAGTGTAGTCCGATTCATAAGCCAATGACTGCTATGAACCGGTTCTTTTAAATTAACCAGTGTAGTCCGATTCATGAGCCAATGACTCCTATGAACCGGTTCTTTTAAATGACCAGTGTAGTCCGATTCATGAGCCAATGACTGCTATGAACCGGTTCTTTTAAATTAACCAGTGTAGTCCGATTCATGAGCCAATGACTCCTATGAACCGGTTCTTTTAAATTAACCAGTGTAGTCCGATTCATGACCCAATGACTCCCATGAACCAGTTCTTTTAAATAACCAGTGTAGTCCGATTAATGAGCCAATGACTCCTATGAACCGGTTCTTTTAAATTAACCAGTGTAGTCCGATTCATAAGCCAATGACTCCTATGAACCGGTTCTTTTAAATTAACCAGTGTAGTCCGATTCATAAGCCAATGACTCCTATGAACCGGTTCTTTTAAATAACCAGTGTAGTCCGATTCATGAGCCAATGACTCCTATGAACCAGTTCTTTTAAATGAACCAGTGTAGTCCGATTCATAAGCCAATGACTCCTATGAACCGGTTCTTTTAAACTAACCAGTGTAGTCAGATTCATAAGCCAATGACTCCTATGAACCGGTTCTTTTAAATTAATCAGTGAAGTCCGATTCATAAGCCAATGACTCCTATGAACCGGTTCTTTTAAACTAACCAGTGTAGTCAGATTCATAAGCCAATGACTCCTATGAACCGGTTCTTTTAAATTAATCAGTGAAGTCCGATTCATGAGCCAATGACTCCCATGAACCGGTTCTTTTAAATGAACAAGTGTAGTCCGATTCATGAGCCGATGACTCCTATGAACCAGTTCTTTAAAATAACCAGTGTAGTCCGATTCATGAGCCAATGACTCCCATGAACCAGTTCTTTTAAATAACCAGTGTAGTCCGAATAATGAGCCAATGACTCCTATGAACCGGTTCTTTTAAATTAACCAGTGTAGTCCGATTCATGAGCCAATGACTCCCATGAACCAGTTCTTTCAAATAACCAGTGTAGTCCGATTAATGAGCCAATGACTCCTATGAACCGGTTCTTTTAAATGACCAGTGTAGTCCGATTCATGAGCCAATGACTGCTATGAACCGGTTCTTTTAAATTAACCAGTGTAGTCCGATTCATGAGCCAATGACTCCCATGAACCAGTTCTTTTAAATAACCAGTGTAGTCCGATTAATGAGCCAATGACTCCTATGAACCGGTTCTTTTAAATTAACCAGTGTAGTCCGATTCATAAGCCAATGACTCCTATGAACCGGTTCTTTTAAATAACTAGTGTAGTCCGATTCATAGGCCAATGACTCCTATGAACCGGTTCTTTTAAATTAATCCGTATAGTCCGATTCATAAGCCAATGACTCCTATGAACCGGTTCTTTTAAAATTTAAAAGAACCGGTTCATGCGAGTCATTGGCTCATGAATCGGACTACACTGGTTCATTTAAAATTTAAATGAACCAGTGTAGTCCGATTCATGAGCCAATGACTCGCATGAACCGGTTCTTTTAAACTAACCAGTGTAGTCCGATTCATGAGCCAATGACTCCTATGAACCAGTTCTTTTAAATGAACCAGTGTAGTCCGATTCATGAGCCAATGACTCGCATGAACCGGTTCTTTTAAACTAACCAGTGTAGTCCGATTCATGAGCTGATGACTCCCATGAACCGGTTCTTTAAATGAACCAGTGTAGTCCGATTCATGAGCCGGTGACTCCCATGAACCGGTTCTTTTAAATGAATCAGTGTAGTCCGATTCATGAGCCAATGACTCCCATGAACCGGTTCTTTTAAATTAACCAGTCAAAAAGATTTTACTTATGTAAATACATATACACATTCAGAACAAAGTAATTGCAGGTAAATGTAATGAATGATAAAAAATTGGCCTGAGTATTTTTTTTTATATATAATTAGGATAATTATGGGGTGTGGGTACTCACCAATACTGAAAGAATCATCAATTGAATTGCTAAGAAATTGTAAACGCTAAGTGGAGTCAGAATTATTGTATATGATCCTCATCTCTGTTCCAATCAAATGTACAGCAGCTTAACACAAAATAAGTTTAAATGTTCAGGAGCCTTTGTTGGACAGGGAAAGAACAAAACAACAGATACACCAACTTTGAAAGGTTGGCTGGAAGATCAAATGTTTATTTATGAACTACCTGCATACAAAACATATTGCACATCAAACAACCAGAATGATCTTTAAAAAAAAACCATAAAGACTAACGAACGTAGTTTACAGAACAGAACATCTGGAAATTGATCTTTCAGTAGTCCAAATTTGCAATCTGCGAGCTAAGAAGTTCTGACAGCTTAGTGTTAAAAACAACTGCCTAGTTAATTTTAAATACTGTACATTTTAAAATAAATAAACCCAAAAAAAGGCTCCTTTAGCAAAACAGTCTCGGTTGCCACCATTACAACCCAACAGGCAAAAGATGAAACCCAAATTCAATCGTTCAGGAAGTGTTTTACATACAGCATTTAAAATGGACAGAGTTAGCAGACCAGTTTCCAGACTAACATTATTCTAAAGGTCAAGAAATGACTATTCAGTGCAAAACATCCTTTTCCCCCCATAACCCCTCGCAAAGAAGTGGTTGCATATTAAAACGTAACAAAAAGCAGCTAAGGATGTCTGGGAGTCTTTCAGACAAGTTGTTTGTTTGTTTTCTGTTCGTTTTCTCTATAGCCAGCCAACATAATGTTGAAACTACGCTCTGAAGGCACAACATCTGATCAGGAACATAAGTGTGACTTAGGTTGTTTTTGTGTGTGTGTATTTTTTTTTTGTCATCTCATAATTTTTTTTTTTTCCCATTGTAATTATCTGTTCCATTGCGAAGGAACTGAAAAGTGCAATCGAGAATGTGGAAGTCCGTACGTCTATCTTTGGCAAGCTTGTACAAGCACTATTGTAAAACTGTAAAGGTGATGAGTCGCAGTGATTAGGAGAGGCCGTTGACGACGGCCTGGCTCTGATGATCGTCTGCTTTGGTGGGGCCGTTGCTCACCGCTTCCGCTTCAGCGGGGCTGTGCTCCGATATCAGCTCCACTTGAGCCTGAGGAGCACAGACACAGATTAAACACACACACACACACACACCACGACCCTCACAGTTGTTTGAGGCGATTAAGGAACAAGCGTGCTCTTCGCTGTCGGGCAAAAATGACAGAATTTTGATGAAATGAGTTTTATTTTTTAGTTTGATAATGTTTTTTTATTTAATATTTTGTATTTCTAGGGGATTTTCTTTATACTAAATTCTATTTACGCTGTATTTATAATCCATTTATTCACTTTTTGAGCATAGACCTGATCGTAAATCTTGAAAGCTTTAGAGCACAGACTTCAGTTTGATCTCGTTTCAAAGACGACACTTGGCAGATTATTGCTAGGGATGGTTATGACAATTTGTATTTTTAGCTTTAGTTAACTGTAATAACCCTGAACACATGATAATGGACTACATGAAATTGCTATGGACAAAAATTAAAAAAAAAAGATGAATAGTAAAATAGTAGTTAAATTGTAACTGTGTCATAATCTATCGCTTAAAATCCCTTAAAATAAGCAGAAAGAATTAAATATCCAATATCATCCAATATTAAATTATATTAAGATTATAAACATTGTTAATCATATTCATTCATATGCAACTAAATAGCATTACTTATTAGATATAAAAATTGTCCATCCCTGTTCATCAATTGAATCACAGAAGAAATCTAGTCACCATGTCCTTTTTGTTCTTCCTCAGGTCTCTGGGGTTTCTCTGTCTGCTTTGAGAGTCAGCTCGTGATATGTAGTCAGCCACAGTAACTGCAAGAGATACGCCAATCATTTAATTCGCATAAGATCGTTATGATTTGACAGCTTTGTGTGAGGAACAGGCCAAACGTGTAGTGCTGGAAATGTTCCTCTGCCGGAGCTCTCAAATCTCATCCGCCCTTCCAACTGGATGCGAGTTTCAAGAAACCCTAAACTTCGCTGTTAAACCTGATCCGATACGTGATGTGGCAAGTAGAGATTGGAGAGCTGTGGTGGAGAGGAAGATTCACTTTTGGACTGAATCTTCTCGGTTGAGAAGGTAAAAGACAAACCTACATGCATTTACATCAACCATGCATATTAGTATGGAGGACCAACTCTACCATATTTAAAAATAAATACAGAAATAAATAAATGCTCAATAAATAAATAAGCATACAATTAATTGCCCCAAAAAATACAATAAACAAATAAATGTAGGTAGAAATTAAATTATACAGTGAGACATAAATGTATATATCTCTTTTAATTAGCTTCTTTATTTATTCACCTTTGTAATAATTACCTTATTTATTTATTGTCCCTTATAATCTTCAACTTTATTTATTAATTACTTATTTTTTGAAGCATTTATTTATGTGCATGTTATAATATTTTTGTCTGTTTTATTCTTCCTTTGTATTTTTTTACCCTATTTATTTCTTCAATGCTATTTATTTCTGCCTGTCGTTTCTACATTTCTGTATGCATTTCTGCCTCATTATGCAAATGAGGCGGGGCTGTGTCTTAAGGGGTCAACGCCCCTCCTCTCCGCTTCCGGCACATGGGACCTTATTTCGGAAAAAATATGTATGGTAGTCAATGGCGAGAGACAACTTATTTTTTTATTCCGTCTGAACTGTGCCCTGAATTACACATATGATGTTTGTCAATTTAAAAGATAATTATGAAAGTCAAGAAAGATGCAGTTTGTCATAAAACAGAAGAGTGACATTTAGTTCTATGTGAAAATCGCTCGATGAACTACATCTCCCGGGAAGCGAAACAACGAGCGAGATCCGCTGCTCGTGTGTGTGCAGTCTGGTACAAAACACTCACGCGTGACGGCGTAACGTTACGATTATAACGTAAGACTATAGAACAAATGACAGACGTTAGCTTCAGTAAAGTAAGCTTCATTCATTAAGAGAAAATGTGCGCCTTTTGGGTTTGTAGTGTTTTTAATTACGTATTTTCAGTCTTATACCTCAACAGTCTTACATCAAACTGCGACTTTCTTGACTTTAAAATGTATATTTTAAATTGACAATCAGGGATGAGTTCCCTAATGAATATTAATGAGTCTTCCCCTACCACCCTGCAAAAAAAAAAAAAAAAAAATCGCGCCCGGTGGCATGTAGATTCGACCGATGCAGTAAAGTAAAATGCTACCCAACCAATGGGCAGAAGTTGACCCCTTAAGACACAGCCCATCCTCATTCGCATAATGAGGCAGAAATGCATACAGAAATGTAAAAACGACGGGCAGAAATAAATAGCATTGAAGAAATAAATAGGGTAAAAAAATACAAAGGAAGAATAAAACAGACACAAATATTATAACATGCACATAAATAAATACTTAAAAAAATAAGTAATTAATAAATAAAGTTGAAGATTATGACGGACAATAAATAAATAAGGTAATTATTACAAAGGTGAATAAATAAAGAAGCTAATTAAAAGAGATATATACATTTATGTCTCACTGTATAATTTAATTTCTACCTACATTTATTTGTTTATTGTATTTTTTGGGGCAATTAATTGTATGTTTATTTATTTATTGAGCATTTATTTATTTCTGTATTTATTTTTAAATATGGTAGAGTTGGTCCTCCATATATTAGGCCTAATACCTACAGCTTTATAAACCAATGTTATTTGCAATCGTGTAACCAACCGATTTAAAAGTTCTAGATAAAGATCATTTATTTCACGCAAACGTCTGAAAATAACTTCATTCAAGAAAAACCTGTAGTTGTGATCTGGCATGTTGGATCATGTGAGTTTTAGTTGAGTTTAAAGGCCTTGCGTTCAATGCCATGCAGTTTGTGTTAGCATTGGCTTGAACTGGAATGCAGTGTTAACTCACACCGTTACCTGGCTGAACGCAGTGTTAACTCACACCGTTACCTGACTGAACGCAGTGTTAACACACACCGTTACCTGACTGAACGCAGTGTTAACTCACACCGTTACCCGGCTGAACGCAGTGTTAACTCACACCGTTACCTGACTGAACGCAGTGTTAACTCACACCGTTACCCGACTGAACGCAGTGTTAACTCACACCGTTACCTGACTGAACGCAGTGTTAACTCACACCGTTACCTGACTGAACGCAGTGTTAACTCACACCGTTACCCGGCTGAACGCAGTGTTAACTCACACCGTTACCTGACTGAACGCAGTGTTAACTCACACCGTTACCTGACTGAACGCAGTGTTAACTCGCACCGTTACCTGACTGAACGCAGTGTTAACTCACACCGTTACCTGGCTGAACGCAGTGTTAACTCACACCGTTACCTGGCTGAACGCAGTGTTAACTCACACCGTTACCTGTCTGAACGCAGTGTTAACACACACCGTTACCTGACTGAACGCAGTGTTAACTCACACCGTTACCTGTCTGAACGCAGTGTTAACACACACCGTTACCTGACTGAACGCAGTGTTAACTCACACTCACACCGTTACCTGTCTGAACGCAGTGTTAACACACACCGTTACCTGACTGAACGCAGTGTTAACTCACACCGTTACCTGACTGAACGCAGTGTTAACTCACACCGTTACCTGGCTGAACGCAGTGTTAACTCACACCGTTACCTGACTGAACGCAGTGTTAACACACACCGTTACCTGACTGAACGCAGTGTTAACTCACACCGTTACCTGACTGAACGCAGTGTTAACTCACACCGTTACCTGTCTGAACGCAGTGTTAACACACACCGTTACCCGACTGAACGCAGTGTTAACTCACACCGTTACCTGACTGAACGCAGTGTTAACACACACCGTTACCTGACTGAACGCAGTGTTAACTCACACCGTTACCTGACTGAACGCAGTGTTAACTCACACCGTTACCTGACTGAACGCAGTGTTAACTCACACCGTTACCTGACTGAACGCAGTGTTAACTCACACCGTTACCTGGCTGAACGCAGTGTTAACTCACACCGTTACCCGGCTGAACGCAGTGTTAACTCACACCGTTACCTGTCTGAACGCAGTGTTAACACACACCGTTACCTGACTGAACGCAGTGTTAACTCACACCGTTACCTGACTGAACGCAGTGTTAACTCACACCGTTACCTGACTGAACGCAGTGTTAACTCACACCGTTACCTGACTGAACGCAGTGTTAACTCACACCGTTACCTGACTGAACGCAGTGTTAACTCACACCGTTACCTGGCTGAACGCAGTGTTAACTCACACCGTTACCCGGCTGAACGCAGTGGTAACTCACACCGTTACCTGACTGAACGCAGTGTTAACTCACACCGTTACCTGGCTGAACGCAGTGTTAACTCACACCGTTACCTGGCTGAACGCAGTGTTAACTCACACCGTTACCTGACTGAACGCAGTGTTAACGCACACCGTTACCCGGCTGAACGCAGTGGTAACTCACACCGTTACCTGACTGAACGCAGTGTTAACTCACACCGTTACCTGACTGAACGCAGTGGTAACTCACACCGTTACCTGGCTGAACGCAGTGGTAACTCACACCGTTACCTGGCTGAACGCAGTGTTAACTCACACCGTTACCTGGCTGAACGCAGTGGTAACTCACACCGTTACCTGACTGAACGCAGTGGTAACTCACACCGTTACCTGGCTGAACGCAGTGTTAACTCACACCGTTACCTGGCTGAACGCAGTGTTAACACACACCGTTACCTGACTGAACGCAGTGTTAACTCACACCGTTACCTGGCTGAACGCAGTGTTAACTCACACCGTTACCTGACTGAACGCAGTGGTAACTCACACCGTTACCTGACTGAACGCAGTGTTAACTCACACCGTTACCTGACTGAACGCAGTGGTAACTCACACCGTTACCCGGCTGAACGCAGTGTTAACACACACCGTTACCTGACTGAACGCAGTGTTAACTCACACCGTTACCTGTCTGAACGCAGTGTTAACTCACACCGTTACCTGACTGAACGCAGTGTTAACTCACACCGTTACCTGACTGAACGCAGTGTTAACTCACACCGTTACCTGACTGAACGCAGTGTTAACTCACACCGTTACCTGACTGAACGCAGTGTTAACTCACACCGTTACCTGTCTGAACGCAGTGTTAACTCACACCGTTACCTGACTGAACGCAGTGTTAACTCACACCGTTACCTGACTGAACGCAGTGTTAACTCACACCGTTACCTGACTGAACGCAGTGTTAACTCACACCGTTACCTGTCTGAACGCAGTGTTAACTCACACCGTTACCTGTCTGAACGCAGTGTTAACTCACACCGTTACCTGACTGAACGCAGTGGTAACTCACACCGTTACCCGGCTGAACGCAGTGGTAACTCACACCGTTACCTGACTGAACGCAGTGTTAACTCACACCGTTACCTGACTGAACGCAGTGTTAACTCACACCGTTACCTGACTGAACGCAGTGTTAACTCACACCGTTACCTGACTGAACGCAGTGTTAACTCACACCGTTACCTGACTGAACGCAGTGTTAACTCACACCGTTACCTGACTGAACGCAGTGTTAACTCACACCGTTACCTGACTGAACGCAGTGTTAACGCACACCGTTACCTGACTGAACGCAGTGTTAACTCACACCGTTACCTGACTGAACGCAGTGTTAACTCACACCGTTACCTGACTGAACGCAGTGGTAACTCACACCGTTACCTGACTGAACGCAGTGTTAACTCACACCGTTACCTGACTGAACGCAGTGTTAACTCACACCGTTACCTGACTGAACGCAGTGTTAACTCACACCGTTACCTGACTGAACGCAGTGGTAACTCACACCGTTACCTGACTGAACGCAGTGTTAACTCACACCGTTACCTGACTGAACGCAGTGTTAACTCACACCGTTACCTGACTGAACGCAGTGGTAACTCACACCGTTACCTGGCTGAACGCAGTGTTAACTCACACTGTTACCTGGCTGAACGCAGTGTTAACTCACACTGTTACCTGACTGAACGCAGTGGTAACTCACACCGTTACCTGGCTGAACGCAGTGTTAACTCACACCGTTACCTGACTGAACGCAGTGGTAACTCACACCGTTACCTGACTGAACGCAGTGTTAACTCACACCGTTACCTGACTGAACGCAGTGTTAACTCACACCGTTACCTGGCTGAACGCAGTGTTAACTCACACCGTTACCTGACTGAACGCAGTGGTAACTCACACCGTTACCTGGCTGAACGCAGTGTTAACTCACACCGTTACCCGGCTGAACGCAGTGTTAACTCACACCGTTACCTGGCTGCCTCTCCTCAGGAGGGCGGAGGCGACGGCGACGGCTACGGTTGCGCCGCTCTTGTTTAGCTTCAGCTTCATCTACAAAACATCGGTGCACAAACCTGACCTTAAACACTGACCGCCGTTTTGGAGAAAGCCATTTGAGCAGGTTGCAGTTTGTGGAATCTGTCTCAGTGTTATTAATTCCATAAAAACCTTTTAATTGGCAACCAATTATTTTTTGCAAAAAAAAATTGTGCATTAATTGGTCACACTTTAGATTAGCCGGTCCATTTCTCACCATTAACTAAATATTAACTATGACTTTTGCCTCAAACTCCTAATTATATATGCTTATTAATAGTAAGATAGTTGTTAAGTTTAGGTATTGGGTGGAATAAGGGATGTAGAATATGATCATGCCGAATATCCTTCGGGTGAGACGTTAAACCGAGGTCCGGACTCTCTGTGGTCATTAAAAAATCCCTGGATGTCCTTAGGAAAAGAGTAGGGGTATAACCCCGACATCCTGGCCAAATCTGCCCCTTGGCCTCTGTCCATCATGGCCTCCTAATCATCCCCATATACTGATTTGCTTCATCACTGTCTCTTTTCCACCAGTACGCTGGTGTGTGTGTGTGTGTGTGTGTGTGTGTGTGTGTGTGTGTGTGTGTGTGGCTGCCATGGCATCATCCAGGTGATGCTGCAAATTGGTGGTGGTGGAGGAGATTCCCTAGCCTGGTTAAAACCAGACCATTCTCAGTTGTAACTGAGTTATGGTCTGGCAAAGCGTCATAGACAAATCATTTCCAGAGGGGCGTCACCAACGGACGTCGCGGATAGACCTAAACCCAATCAGAGCGATGAAGGAGATGACGTATGCAGAGCGGCGGAGAAACATCTCCGAGTGTTGTTCTTTGCTCGTTTTTTAACAAAAAGGAAACGTTCAAATGGCTTAAAACAGACGCGATAGCTGATTGGAACGAGTGATGTCCGACGGCGGCATCCATCTTTGTAATGTAGGCTACAAAATCTGCTTCAAAATCCCAGCGCTGTCGTCATCGTGTAAAGCCCGCCCCAACGCTTCTGATTGGTGCCGCGATTTAGACGGATAGGAAATGGACTTGAATGAGCTCTTTGCCAGACTAACTTTCAGAGCAAATCTAAATTTGCCGGAAGTTTTCTGGGTTTTCCCAGGCTAGATATTCCCCCTTCTATGTAAAGCGCTTTGAGTGCCCAGAAAAGCGCTATATAAATGTAACAAATTATTATTATAAGACATTAATATGTGCTTTATAAGTACTAATAAACAGCCAATATCCTAGTAATATGCATGATAATAAGTTAATAGTGAGAACTGGACCCTGAAATAAAGTGTTACATTAATTGTATAATATATAATCTGTCATAATAACAGTATAATACATAAAAAATCTGTCAAATACTTGTTTAAAAAAAAAAAGAAAGTACTGAAACACCTGAATAGGCTTTATTTACAAATAATAACCAAAAAATAACTTAATCTGTCTTTTGGCCTTGATAACAGTTTGCATTCTTGCTAGCATTGTTTTTATGTACAGTCATTTTCCACAGTCTCTGTTGTTATTGACTTCCAAATAGTTGTTACTACAATACTAGTTGTTCCCAAAGACTTGCTTTTGATGAAACTTTTGTGCGTTCTATCTTTGAATCCACTAAATCCCAAATTTGTTCAATAGGATTCAAGTCCAGACTTTGACTTGGCCAACTGAGAGTAAAGAGCTTAGATATATATACACTGGTGGATTGACCATTACAGAAGTATAAAAACATACTGTTAGTTTAAGGCAGCTGAGGCACAAACCTTACATTGGCTGGTGGTCTAATCAATTTGTTAAGCACTGTATATATATTTATTGTTGAATTTTACATTTAGGTATCAAATATTTAATCAAAATTAAATTAAATCCTAAATATAATGCAAGTGATGATATATACAGTACTGTTTAAATATTTTGGGTCTCTTCTGCTCACCAAGGCTAAATTTATTTGATAAAAAAAATTGTTAAAAACATTAATATTGTGAACTATTATTACAATTTAAAATAACTGTTTTCTATGTGAACATATTGTAAAATATAATTTATTCCTGTGATCAAAGCTGGATTTTCAGCATCATTACTCCAGTCTTCAGTGTCACATGATCCTTCAGAAATCACTCTAATATGAGGATTTACTGCTCAAGAAACAGCAGCTGTAATCAATCAATAAAATGAAATTAACAGATGAAAGTATTGTAAAAAGACTGATGCAGTGAATCCTTACCCAGGCCGTTCTCGCTGAGCGAGGTGTTGTCGGACTCGCTCATGCCGTCCATGACGGTGGTGTCCTCATCCGTGCGGCGGCGGCGGGAGCGTCTGCGGCGGTTCACGCTCACCTGGGAGTCGCTGGCATCTGTGTCGGCCGTCTGATCCGTCTCAGTGTTGTCCAGCAGACTGTATGGGTTTCCATCGGGATCGTTCAGGACTGGCATGAAAACACCAATACAAATATTTAATACTAATATAATCAAGTTATATGCATTCTTTTGATTACCACTATTCTTGATAATAAGTTCTTAATAAATCATAAAACAGAGAATCCAGAGAAATGTAAAACAGACAACAGAGAATTTCTGTTAGAAAAAAAAAAACATTTCATTGGTCACTATTATTGCTAAAACTTCAGTAAATTATTTTTATAAAATTAAATGATAAGATATGCTTTTTAATACTTAACATTTTAATAAACCGTTCAAATAAAATCCCCAAAAAATAAAAACACAAAATTTGGGAAAAAAAGAAAAATGGATTTCATAAGGCCCTAAAAGCATCTAAGGCTATTTTCATGGCAACATTTAAATTACAAAAATACAAATATCATATCAATACAATAAAACCGAGCAAATAAACACAACAAGTCATATTATACACTTTTTTTGAAATGTGTGTTCTGGTGAATAAGAAGCGCTCAGCTTTAGTGTGTGTGTGGGGTGGAGTGTACCAGAGCTGATGGAGTTGGACGCCCCCCGCCCCGATGCGCGGCCTCTGCCTGCAGGTCCTCCTCGTGCTCTGCCCCGGCCCTCTCCCGGCCTCCTCCTGCTGTCTCTTTGCTGTCTGGGGTTGCGCTCGGGCTCCTCTCCCGCCAGGGACCAGTCGCTCAGCTCCTCCTTACGCTCAGAGTCCGTCTCAGAGGCGTACGAGTGCTCAGAGTTAGTGCCTGAAAGTGGTGAAAACGTGAAAGTGTTAGCCGCCGTCGACAACGCGCTGGATCCTTCTCTGCAAACCCAAAGTAACGTTTACTCTTTGAATTCTTGCACCGGGGAACAACACAAGTCGACACTAGGCTTGCTACGATAGTCGGTGCTACCGGTGTTCAGAAGCAACAGCAGTTACATCATTTTTTTTTATTTTTTATAAAATCATTTAGTTCAGTTAGAGAACAGACACCACAATTATAAATCTGAACGTTTCTGCTTAATAATTCGTGAGCTGAACGAGAGTCGCCGCACAGATCAGCAGCAGGAGTCAGATTTCACTCATCACGAGTGAGGAGCTGACGATGATAGCGGAGTATTTGGTGTCAAAGTGAAATGTAAAAAAGCCTATGTAAGAGTTTGTTGTGCTTTTCATTAATAACAATAGGCTAATGAGCTCAGCATTCAAGCAATCCGCCCCCAAATTGGCGCTAATTTAAAAGCGAAACTAAAATGTGCACTCACTTGTCCAGCAGAACAGCGGCGGGGGGGGGGGGGGGGGGGGGGGGGTTTTGAATCGCTAGTTTGAAGGCAAAAGTAAAATGCGCACGTACGCACGGGCATTCATAATGGTGCGGAGCAAAGCTCTGCGGTATAATTTTTTTTTTTTTACCGCTAAGCCTATAAAAAGCTGTTTTGGCAGTTTGCATTTTACTTTCACTTTTAAATTAACGTCAATTCATCTTTCGCAGGGAGTTTGATTGACAGGCGATCTGACCAATCATAATCCGCCATTTTTGTCCGACAAAGTAGTCAGGAGAGTTAGACTCCAGAGTTTCCTACTACCAGCGTGAATGCCCAGAAAAACACGAAACACATTTAAAACAGGAAAGAGCTTTGCTATTGACTGTACAAACAGATTTGACAAGAAATATGAGGTATATTTTTAAAGACTCTCGAAAGCTACTAGCCTGGGAAAACCCAGAAAACTTCCGGCAAATTTAGATTTGCTCTGAAAGTTAGTCTGGCAAAGAGCTCATTCAAGCCCATTTCCAATCCGCCGAAATCGCGGCACCAATCAGAAGCGTTGGGGCGGGCTTTACACGATGACGACAGCGCTGGGCTTTTGAAGCAGATTTTGTAGCCTACATTACAAAGATGGATGCCGCCGTCGGACATCACTCGTTCCAATCAGCTATCGCGTCTGTTTTAAGCCATTTGAACGTTTCCTTTTAGTTAAAAACCGAGCAAAGAACAACACTCGGAGATGTGTCTCCGCCGCTCTGCATACGTCATCTTCATCGCTCTGATTGGGTTTAGGTCTATCCACGACGTCCGTTGGTGACGCCCCTCTGGAAATGATTTGTCTATGACGCTTTGCCAGACCATAACTCAGTTACAACTGAGAATGGTCTGGTTTTAACCAGGCTAGAAAGCTACAGAACAGAGAAGCAAATGAATCGCTGCAATGCACAGAAACAACTGGATCCAGCCAGTGAAAAGTGCAGTTATCATTTTGTGTCAATATGCTGCATTTGGGGTAAAATCATATCCTATATATTGTATTGTTATATATTGTACTGACAACTCATCAATTAAATATTTACCATTGTATATTCTGCATAATTGGATGCTTTTAAATAAACACTGACAAAAAACTATACAAGTTTTAGGGCTGAATGATAGGATGATATATATAACATTGATATAAGTGATCACTAGGGCTGTCAACGAATATTCTAAATTCGAATATATATTAGAATAGTTTTAAAAATCTGATTTTCGAAGGTGAAAATTAATATTCGAATGTGGAAAAACACACGCGCCGTAGCAGAGGCGCGGCTGTCTGCTGCGAGTGGGCGCGCTGCCTGAGGGAACATCACTAAAGTGTAGGCATACTTGTGTAAAGTGTAGGCATACTTGTGTAAAGTGTAGGCATACTTGTGTAAAGTGTAGGCATACTTGTGTAAAGTGTAGGCATACTTGTGTAAAGTGTAGGCATACTTGTGTAAAGTGTAGGCATACTTGTGTAAAGTGTAGGCATACTTGTGTAAAGTGTAGGCATACTTGTGTAAAGTGTAGGCATACTTGTGTAAAGTGTAGGCATACTTGTGTAAAGTGTAGGCATACTTGTGTAAAGTGTAGGCATACTTGTGTAAAGTGTAGGCATACTTGTGTAAAGTGTAGGCATACTTGTGTAAAGTGTAGGCATACTTGTGTAAAGTGTAGGCATGGCCATTAGTTGATTTACTTGTTTTTGTGTAGGTAATACGTTGTCAAATATGTTTAAACTTAAATAAACTACCTATACAAGTAGTTACGTCTCTTTGTATTAATTTGTCCTGTTATTGACGTAATGCGCGTGCGTCATTGACAAAATGCGCAACCAGATATTCGAATATGTGGTTTTTTTAGAGGCAATATTTGAACGTCATTTTTGAGCAATTTTGACAGCCCAAGTGATCACATGGATTTAAACCTATATTGTATTTATATAAAGCGTTAGCGTTCACATGCAAATTTGCTGTATGTATTTCCCCGGCGTGGAAATCAGGCTCATATAAATGTCAGGAAACATGTTCCTGCTGCATGTCAACATCCACGGATCACTGGATCTTTGGTAAGTTGTGAGGAACTCTATATCAAGTCCAACCTTTAGTTTAAACTGGTAATGGTTCGTTTTACTCGCGTTTTCACAGTTTCCCCTGTTTAATCGCATCATGCAGCCGCTCTTCTGCCACTCGGTCCGGCTGAGCGAGTGTGTTTCGGCGGGAAAGTGACGTCAATGCATTCCCTCTATTGAAGTTTCCCTACCTATTTGGCAAAAGGGAAGACAACAGGCTTTTTTGATGTCATGTAGCTGTGATTTCCACCTTTCTACTGCATAGGCAGCCACATTTTATTGAAAGCCCATTTTGCCAGAGGTATAAAAGTAGCCTTTTTCGAGTAGCCTCGAATTTGGGGTGAAACATGACCTGTTTTTAAAAGCTTTTAAGACCGAAGCCCTACCGTAGCCAGACGTGTATCCGGGCCCCCGGCGTCCGCGGCCCCTGCCGGAGTAGGAGCGATTGACGTGCAGGGTGGTGTTAGTTGTGCTCTCTTCAGTGGCGTAGCCCTTGTCCTTGTCGCCGGGCCGGTTTGGGCCAGGCCTGTGACCCATCCCAATCTGACGCAGCTGCTCGTCGATCTGCAGCCGCTCCAGTCGCAGCTGCTCCACCTCCTGCACAACACAAACCAGCGCTTGAGCTCCTCAAACACCAGAGGCCTTTCGTCAGCACGCCCGCTGTGTGCGCTCTCATACTCACGTTCAGGTAAGCAATGTGGTATTCCAGTAGAACCTGCACATTGCTGATGCTCTCCTTCGTTCCAACAAATGTAAATGGCACCATTCCCTATTTAATAAAATGATAAAAAATGCATTATAGTACATGTATTCTTTCATCTGGCTTGCTTTTTTGTGCTACTCTAGGGTGTCTTACTTCCTGTCGGGGGAGTTTGTTGTCATTGTCGCCCTCGATGCGCACTCTCACCACACCGGATTTATCGACAATCTCCTGGATGACCTTGCCATTTTTTCCAATAACCTTCCCTACAAAGGGAAAACGCGTATGAAGAAGATGCCAACACAATTTTGATGGTTAAATTCAATATGACATTAAATATTTACTTTCCTACAACTGAGTGACTTCTCTCAAAAAACATGCAAGTTTTCTTGTCAAACTGTTGCATTTCACAAGAAACTTTGCGTTTGCTCGCAAAAGCACTGAAACATAGTTTTTCCTCGCACCTCATAATATTTCCATCACAAGTTTTGTGAGCGAACGCAAAGTTTCTCGGGGGAACCCAAAAATATTGAAATATAATTGTTCCTCCAATCTCATTTTTTTTTTTTTCAATGTCCATTAAGGGGCTCTGTAAAAAGTTCCTGTTGCACACTCAGTTATTACTGTTAACTAAGACAAAACTATTTTAAAAATTGTTTGCGGTAATTGAAATACAGTTATATACATATATAAATAAAGGTTTCTAAAAGAAAAACATGCATACCAACAAGATTGCGAGGAATCTGCACTGAATCTTCCAGAAACTCTAGATAATTTCTTGCTTTCTGAACCGCCTCTGTACTCTGTAAAGAAAGAATTTTAAAAATGCATTGCATCCATTGCAAGGACTCTGTTTGATGACACGCCCCGTCCCGTGGCCAGAAAGCGGACGCACCTCTCCGTAGACCCTGAAGGTCCGAGTCTCCTCGTCCAGCTCGATGGCGGTCACCCCCGGCACCTTCCTGGCCTGCTGAATGTTGCTGCCGTGGCTGCCGATGGCGAGGCCTATGAGGTCTTCTCTCACGGTGAACTCCTCTTGAAACGCTGAGGCCAGCTGCTTTGTACTCTACATGTACAGACACATGCACATGTTCACTGGGGCATTACACATTGTAAATCGATGTTCCTTTTAGAGTTACACACTGCAGGGTTATTATCGGTCAGTAAAACAAACCATAAAAAAAACTATTTTTGTTACTTGAAATACAGTAAAATAAGCATTTCTCATTTTCGTTTAGTTTAACTTTCATTTAGTACTAACATTAACTTTTTGAGTTGAGAGTTGCAGGGTTATTATCGTTAACTAAAACCATTAAAAACTATTTTCATCACTTAAAATATGAAAAAAAAAAAAAAGAACTTACTTCACTTCAGCTGCCTAATCAACATTTCTCATTTTTATTTGTTTTAACTTTACGTTAAACGTTCGTTTAAAACTAACTTTTTGAGTTGCACACTGCAGGGTTATTATCGTTCACTAAAACAACTATTTTGGTTACTTAAACTATAAACTTTTTTTTAACCGATGTCAAAGCAACATTTCTCGTTTAGTTTAACTTTTGTTTGGTACTAACATAACATTTGAGTTGCATACAGCAGGGTTACTATTGTAAACTAAAACCACGTTTAACTCTCGTTTAGTACTAACATAACTTTTTGAGTGTTGTATATTGTATAATAACATCAGGGTTATTATCATTAACTAAAACAAAAACAAACTATAAATTATTCTTGTTACTTGAAATGAACTAAAATTTATATAAAAAAAAATATTGAAAAAATTATAAATCTATACAAGACAAAATAATTAAAATGAAAAAAAAAAACATACAAAGAGAAAACTGAAGAAAAAAAATCTAATATAAAATATTAACAAAAACTATAGTAGTATGTCATGTTAATGACACTGAAATAATACCGGCACACTGTTTATTCATATATTTACATTTCGCACAGGGTTAAGTGTGGTGTGAAATAATAATCAAGGAGAATATACTGTGGCAGTTGACACGAGAGCTGATGTACCTCAAGGTGTTTGGTGGCCTCCTCGTTCCTGGACATGAGCATGAGTTTAGTGCGGATGCTCCGTAGATGCATGTCACTCAGCAGGGAGACGCGCTTGACGGTGGCCTCGCTCATGGACTAGAGGTGTGCAGAGAACCTGGATTAAGCTTTCGCCATAGACAAACCCACTTACAGAAGTGCTATGGTCAACTGGGACTCACCAGCACGATCAGTTCGCTGTGCTCCGGGCTGTAAACAATCCGGATGGCTCCGACCGCCTTTTTGAAGTCCTTGTGGGCTTGTTCACTCTCACATCTAACATGACCAATGAAGAAATCAGTTCATGGTTTTAACCAATATTGTCGCATCAGCACAGATGAACTATAATATATGTGCAGGTCACATTTTGCCCCAAAATCAAAGGATAAAATTAATTCTGCTTAAAGAAACAGAAGACTTCACACTATTTTGCATTGCAATATAATTATATTAAGCACATTTCACACCCAAATTGTCATTAATCTATTTTTTTATTTTTTTTATTCATTACTTTAATGCATCAAAATGATTTGCTTTTGAGCTTGAATATTTTTTGCAATTCTCATTCTCGATGGAGATCCTATGGAAGCTTGTTTCCGTCACGGAATAAAAAATAAAAACGTAATTGCGACTTTTATCTCGCCATTCTTTTCCGCCATTCAATTGTGAGGTGACCTTTTTTCTTAGAATTGCTAGTTTACAGGTGAAACTCGAAAAATGTGAATATCGTGCAAAAGTTCATTTATTTCAGTAATTCAACTTAAAAGGTGAAACTAAGTATTTTGATGATTATGGCTTACAGCTATGAAAACATTTTCACAATTTTCTAATTTTGAATTTGGGGTTTTCATAAGCTGTAAGCCATAATCATCAAAATTATAACAAATAAAGGCTTGAAATATCTCACTTTGTATGTAATGAGTCTATATAATATATTAGTTTCACCTTTTAGGTTGAATTACTGAAATAAATGAACTTTTGCACGATATTCAAATTTTTCGAGTTTCACCTGTATATTAATTATATAAAAAAAACGTAGTTAAGAGATATGAAATTGCAATTGCGAGAAAAAACATTAGTTATGAGACATAGCCTAAACTTACAAGTCAGATAAGAGACATACTCACAATTTTGAGAAAAAAAGATCACTTACTAGATCACTTATGCAATTTCAAGAAAAACGTCATTTACGAGATATAAACTCACAATTCGCCTTTGGCTAAGCCCCGCCCCCCTTAGTTACTGTTGCCACGTCCGACAAACAAACTTCATCTGGGCTCTGGTATCAACATGGCTTATGCTGTGACAGCTCTTCCTGCTGAAATTTTATCAAACTTTTATAAAGCAGCAAATAAAGTGTCCGGTAGAAGTAGGCAAAAGGGGCTGCAATATACGTCCGAAGGCTATATTCACGACATACAGGTGAAACGCAAGGAACAACAAGGCATCCAAATAGAGGCAAAAGCATACCGGTCACAGTCAAAAAATGAACCACCGCATATCCTACTAATCGAGACGGAGGCTGGGACTAACAATATCTGTTCATGCAAAGCTGGGTAGGTCTCTATTCACTTCTATAATCGTTATTACAAAGCAAACGGACTACGTTGTATTTACGGACTACGTTGTATAACGTTGTGTTTATTAGCAGCGTGTGCTAGACGACACTTGTCAGGGTTTGACTTCGGTTTGGGAAGGGAAAAAAACGGACACCCCCCTCCAACCTCTCTGGGAAACGTGTATCTGTGTTACAAATGCCCCAGGCACAACGTTTAACCATATTTTTGATAAAACTACGACGGTAATAGCCGGCCGAGACCAAAAATATGAGACGCCTGTGTTAAAGCCAATGGAGCGCTGTGAAAAAGTGTCGGACCTCTGTGGGAGCTCGTTCTCGGCTGCGCTGTGATTGGTCAATCTACATTCTAGGGTGTGGCTTAGCCAAAGGCGAATTCTAAGAAAAAAACGAGAAAGTAATTTCGAAAGACTCGTAATGTCATTTTCCAAGCCAATGTCTCTCACACATTTCTGAGAAAAAGGGCAGATTTATAAGATAAAAAGATCACAATTACCTTTTCTATTTATATATACACTGTATATGTTTTCTACTTTTTGCCTTTATTGGACAGGACTGTAAAAGAAGCAACATGAAACAATGGGAGAGGAGCGGAAAATGTTTTGCTGCCCACAAAGTTATGGCTCTGACAGTCATTTTCTTCAGAGGGAAATATGTCACGAAAACGTCCCAAAAAAAATTAAATTCTACAAAAAAAAAAAAATTTTTTTACAATTTATGATCCAATTCTTATGATTAAAAGCCTGATATTAGTTTTATAGGCAAAAAATGTAGCCTAGATATGGATTTATTTACAGTAACCCCCCCCCCCCCTTCCTCCCTTTCTGTTTAATAAACATCCCAGGATGCACCTCATAAAGTATAATTTGTGTAACATTTTTCAGTTACCACAAAATGTTGGTGTCTTAATCATCCCTGTATTGTCCACATTAGAATAATAGTGATGGCTGTGTCCAAACAGTACTCACGCTGCGCTGAGATCGTCTGGCACAGGAACAGAACACTTAAAGAATGTGTTCTCCGTCACGGCTTTATTGCGGTTGACTGGGCGGAGACGCTCGAACGTTACGATCTCGTTGTAGGTTGCGTCACACGCGGCGTACTCGATCACGTAGAACTGCAGGAAACAAAAGTGAAAGTGAACTCAGAGATCTTCAGAAGAAAGCGAAAGTTAACTGAGCGAGTCATGTATACTCACATCTCCTTTCATCATGCGCACTTTAGCCAGCCACCAGCCGCAGGGCTCCTGCTCATTCGCTCGCGAGAAAATCTGCACAGCACAAGCCGCTTGTTAAGAGTTTATGCAGCTCAAATACAGCGCAATACTAATAATACACACATTTACTCACCTCCACTTCTTCTCCTTCGATGATCTCCTTTTTGCCATCAGCAGGAGGTAACCGCACATCACTGAAGGGGACTTGTCTTTCAGGTTGCCAGCTGAGAAAATCATTTTCATATAATTATGCTCATCTCATATTTCTCTCATATTTTCATGATTGTAGGAAATATTAGCTTCTACTCACTTATTTTCAAACGAAACGGAGAGAGAGTCGTCATGAACATCTTTGACAAAGCCCTGGAATAATACGATTTATTATTTATTCAAATAAATGTAAACAAGTAAATACATTTATAAAAATAATGTATTACACACACAAAAAAAAAAAAAAATAAAGTGTGAGGGAGAATTATTTACTAATGCTACTATACAAGTTGTAAAAGTTTGTGCTGTTCAAAACAGTTAGCGTATTATCGTTAACTAAAACTAGAATTATAAAAACATTTTCTTCATTGAAATAAAGCTATTGAAATAAAATAAATATAAATATTAGACAAAAAACATTCAACAAAAAATAGAAATGTTGTCTTTGAAAATAACTTCAACTAAAACTAATCCATTAAAAATATATACTAATATAAATTAAACACAGATAGAAATTTTAAAACTGAAAAAAAGCAATATTTCTCTTAAGTTTAACAAAAAAACACAAAAAACTAAAACATATAAATTAATAAATAAATAAAACTATATTTTATACTATAACTACTGGAACTAAAACTGAATTATAACTTTGTCAAGTCAACATAATAAAACCTAAATAGAAAATTAAAAACTGAAACATTTCCTCTTTGAACATCCTGTGGCACTCAGAGTTATACTGAAAATATTAAAATACTAGCTATCGGTAATTGAAATAACGCTGAAATAAAATGAAGAAATATTAGATGACAAACTTAAATAAAAATTAAAAATGTTGTCTTGGCAACTAACAGATATAAGTTACTAAAATAAAAGGATATATTTAAAAATAATAATGAAAACATCCAAATTATTACAACAAACTCAAATTAAAACGAAAATATTAAGAAATAAAACGAATTTAAAGAAATCAATACAAACTACACTTGCCTAAAGGTTATGAGATAAAAAGAATAAGCACCACAGAATAAATGTGCCAGTAAGAAATAAACCATTTATAAAATGCAAACACTTTAAAAGACTAAACAATAAAAGAATTTCTAATTATGTACTACCACAGACATAAACATAAAGCATGACATATGAATGACACTGTTATAATGAATCTAAATAATATTACGTCAGAGAGCTTGTTTATATGAAGTGTGGTTATACGCTCACAATGCGTTTTGTTTTAATAAATAGTATTTTGATAAATAAAACATTTAAATATGTTTCAAAAAAAGGAGCATTGTTTTGGTTTAATATGTAGGCCTAGGTAGTACCAAGGTGTGATCCATCAAATATAAAGTTAAATTTATAGTATATTACTTCATTACTTAAGACCAACTAACTGGTCGGCACTGCCTCTCAATAGCAACTGGCTCCAAAATGGAAGTCGGTATCTCTTAAACCTCATCTCAAAATAGACGGGTGTTAAAATATCTGCAGTGCTGGATGACAGCTGGCGATGGAAACCCGACAGCTGAGATAAAGCAGAGCAAAATGACTGAGGGATGAGATGGACACAGAATAATAACTTACACCATGTGTTTATTAATACTTTAAGTGGAAAGTAATAACATCGTACACATACAAAGACGACTCAAACTAATAGATTTCTTTGAATTTTCTTGACACAATCAAATCATCTGGTCGAAAAACACAAGCTGCTTTTATGATTTGATCATGTCTGACCACACCTTAAATATGAATATGAGCTTCCTGGCATTTTTTTTTTAGCTTGACTAAACCTACATTTGAGAAATGTACCGGTAATCACGCGTGTTCAAATAAACAGTTGTACTTGCATTATAAATGGATCTTGAAGGTTAATAGGTTGTGTGTGCTTCAACACAATAACAGTAAAACTAACGAGCATGTCCGATAGCAGGTTTGATGAACAACAATGACCCATTACTGACTTTTATATTGGTATTTAGATAGTAGTATTTTTTATCAAAGCATTTGTTATGGTTCAATTCATATAAATCGTTAAAAGACGACATAATCGTACGCCTGACTATATAATGTTCAATAACAGTTAGCAGATAAATAAAGTGAAATCAAAAGTCAGTTATTCGAGCCTTAAAACTCAGTTTCTCCTAATGTAAACTTCTTTAGTATGTAGTTGAGGTTAAATAAAACTTAGCATTACATGGTGTAATGTTTTGATTATTTAAATATCCTCGCGCGGTTGCTAACCGGCTAACGGCTAACAGACACTGAGTACAGTATACTATTTATACGCGTTGAAAGTACATGATACAGTTCGTTTTTCACTATTTTATTGAAGGTTTTACTATCCATACTGTCTTAAGAGACAAATACGAGCGTGAAGTAGAAGATAATGAAGTAAAATACTGTATTTACCTTATAATAAGCTCCATTGGAGCCACGGACCTCCACCGTCAATTCCTCCATGTTGAGCGCGAAGAGGATGCTGGGTAAAGTTCCCGAACTCTACAGGGCTCAGCAGTGAACCCTGAGGAACTCCTTCATACTACATACAGCACTTCAACTAGAGATAAGGAAATATAATTATAAATACTTATGTATTTAAACAGTACTTAACTTTTTTTGTAATGTTTGAATACTCAAGTATAGATTGTTTTCTTTTATTTATTTATTTATTTATTTATTTATTTGAACTTTTACAACATTTTGAAAAGAAAACACACATCAAAGATCTCTTAAATTCACCATGAAATCAAAATGGACCATTCTTATTTTTGTATGGAATATTGTTGTAGGCTATTATAAATGATTTATAAATGCACTTCATTATTTATTTATTTTTTCATTTATGTGCTCTGATAATCTTTAATTAAAATAACTTTCCCTCCCTCCCTCTTGCAGCAACATCTCTTCTCTTCTAAATTGATGAGGTGTTTACTGGCGCAAGGGCGGGGCAACCCGTCACTCACTTGAGATCCACCAAAAGCAAACCATAACCAATTCCTGATGGACAAAATCCAGTCCTAGACTACATTTTTTTCATGGTTGAGGAGCCATTTCACTCGGATACATAGATGCCCTTTTAATGTTTCTGCCAGTTGTTGCGAGTCACTCTCTGTATGCCTGATGATTTTGGAGTTAATTGCTTAATATGCCATTTTAAAAAAAAAGAAAAAAAAAAAAGAAGCATTTGTTATGTTGTAACACGAGATATAATGGTAGAATTGCGTGTATTACGACCCTATAGGACCCGATCTCAGATCCACCAATCAGAGAGCTTTCCGAATCTCAAAAAAAAAATGTTAATGTTGATTGTTTGACTATTTCTTACCTCAAAGTCGTCATGAAACAGCCAATGGCTTGGATGTTGTGAAAAGGCAAAGTTATAAGAAGTTATAATCATTTAATTGAACCTATTTTTTTTTTCATATTTGTAATATTTAGCAGATAAAGTGTGTTAATATCATTTAAATAATATCATAATCAGCGAGCCGAAAAATAATTCAACCTAAAACAGCTAACATAACCTTTTTCTTGAAATTGCACTAAAACAGGGTTATGTGGTACATGCATAAACTGAAAAAATATTAATTAATTATTAACAGTAACACACTGATAGTTGCTAAGGTGTTCTCAGTGGTTTGTAGAGCATTTCTATGCCGTAGCTAGGGTGTTGTGTGTGGTTGCCAGGGTGTTTCTAAGCAGTTGCTAAAGTGTTGTCAGTGTTTTTAGTGTATTGGTTTGCGGTTACTAGGGTGTTGTGTGTGGCTGTCAGGGTGTTTCTAAGCAGTTGTTACAGTGTTATCAATGTTTTTATCCATTACTATGCAGTTGTCTGTGTGTTCTGGGTTGCCAAGCTGTTCTAGGTGGTTGCCAGGTCATTGCTAAGCAGTTGCTAAAGTGTTCTCTGTGTTTTTAGCGCATTGTTTTTGCAGTTACTATGGCATTATGGGTTGCTAAGGTGTTCTCAGTGGTTTGTGGAATGTTGTTATGCTAGCTAGTGTCTTCTGGGTAGATGCTAGGGCATTGCTATGTGGTTGCTAATGTGTTCTCGTGTTCTCTTTCATAGGTTCACTCAACACTGCGGAAAGCGCAGTGGGATATTCTCTGAATGTGCCGATTCTCTGAAGCCCTATAGAATCACGCCAATCCATTGGCTGATGGCGCTCGCGCAATCTGGCTCCGCCCCGACGCGCCCACGTCGCATCATCAAGTATGCGCACGCGCCATCCTCTCCTCAGATTTCTCTGCCTTCACAAAACGGTCACTTCGCCCTTCGCTCTCGATTTTTCTAGCCTGAAAAACGGATTTCTTCTTCTTGCACTTCAGCGACTGCATAAGTGGAACTCAGTTCTCCTTCCAGTGAAGCTGCAATGGAGTATCGACGTTGCTCTCCGCCATGTGCTCGCTTCATTGCAAGCGACGACCCTCACAGTAAGTGCGTCAAGTGTTTGGGTTTCTCACATGCGCGCGAGGCTGTTTTAGGATCGTCTAAATGTAAATTTTGTGTGACAATTTACTTCTAAAAACTCTCCGCTCTCGGCTGCTCTTCGTGGCATGCCAGTCGAGGTCACTCACGATTATTTATGCCCCAGCCCGGGAGCACGCGAGGCGGTTTCTTTCGGGTTGGAGGACGTAATTTTTACCGCGGCATCCGACTCCGAGGATTTCGGGCCTGCTTTTGCCGACGACGTTATCCCGCCTAGCGGCCAGGAAGCGCGGCCTACTGCGGCCTACTCAGAGCTCATGGACGTGCTTTCGCGCGCTACTGAGAAACTCGCCATTGACTGGCCTGACGAGCCCCGCCAGTCACAGTCGTCGAAACTCGACAAGAGATTTCTCAATGGCCCTAATTCTAGGCCACAACGGAGAAAGCTGCCATTTTTCAGCGATCTGCATCAAGAGATTTCCAGACCCTGGAAACAGCCTTTCTCTGCGCGTCTCACTAATTTGCTGCTGATTTCACCAACCTGGTAGGTTCTGTGGAACAGGGCTATTCCGCCATTCCAGCAGTTGAGGATACTTTTGCCAGCCATCTTGCTCCGTCGTCCGCGCCGTCTTGGAAGTCACTTCCCCTCCTTCCCTCTAAAGCATGTAGGACTTCTTCCTCTCTTATTGGGAAATCTTACATGGCGGCTGGACAGGCAGGCATGACCCTGCACACGATGGCCATTCTGCAGGTCTACCAGGCCGATGTCCTAAAAGAAATGGATGAGGGTAGTGGTGTGACTTCTGAAGTTGTGAAAGAGCTTCGCAAGGCGACGGATCTGGCTTTAAGGGCCACCAAGCACACCGCACGCGCTGTAGGCCGCTCGATGGCAGGTGCGGTTGCTGCGGAACGCCACTTATGGCTTAACCTCGCTGAGATCCACGACAAGGAGAAAGTTTTCCTCCTTGACGCCCCTATCTCCCAGTCGGGTCTGTTTGGGGAGGCGGTCAACACGGTGGTCGAGAAATTCCGTGCCTCCAAGTCTCAATCGGCCGCGTTTAAGCAGTTCATGCCCAGGAGGGTTAGGGAATCCTCCGTTCCCTCCCCTGCTCGACCCAGAGAACGTCCCTCTCATAGAGCGGAGTTCCCTTCTAGGAGAAGTGACCCGGCGCATCTCCCACCTTCCACGGTTTGGGGAGCCCGTGGTCGCCCGTTCCCCCGTCAACGGCCTCACAAGCGTCTGCAACTGAAGCGGTCCGATAAACCGACCGCCCCAGCTGCCTCGAACCGTTCCTGATCCTCTGGTCAGAAAAAGGAGAGCTCCTCCACATACACGAGGTTGGGACAGACCGCGCAAACGTTTCAGTCCACCTCTAACCAGCTCTCTTTCCCTTACCGTGTCACTTTCGCCACCCAGAGTGTTTCGAAGTGCAGGCCCTATTTTACCTTCTCTACTCAGTCCGGCGCGAGAGGAAGGAGACACCTTTTGCTCTCTCCCCTCTCCCCCGACACACTCTATAACTACCGGTCGCATCCTCAGAGGCACTTTTCTTTTTCCTCTGGAGCAGACAGGCCCGGACATGCCTCCCATCACGTGTCAGGACGCCAGGTGCTCTCCTACACAACCAACCACTCAACCCCACGGTCATCAACGCGACACCCTCACTCAGGTATGTCGTCTGCATTGCAACACCCCTCTTCCTCTTTCACATTTCTTTCAAGAGTGGGAGCGCTTACAAGGGGTATCGCCTTGAATTCTTCGCACAGTTCGATTCAGCTACACACTTCAGTTCTGCCGCAACCCCCCCCCCACCCCCCCGCTTCAACGGGCTCTTTCCTATTGTAGTCGACAGCGCCGCACAGGCTTCTGTACTACCGCAGGAAATTTCTTCCCTCCTTCTCAAGGGAGCGATAGAGGAGGTTCCTTCGGGGGAAATCGAACAAGGCTTCTACACCCGTTATTTCCTGGTCCCAAAGAAAGACGGCGGCTTGCGTCCCATACTAGACCTTCGCCGGCTAAATTTCGCCCTTTACAAAGGAAAATTCAAGATGCTGACGCTGAAAGCCATCATATCTCAGATTCGGTCAGGAGATTGGTTCGTGACAGTAGACCTCAAGGATGCCTATTTACACATCCAGGTCGTACGGCGACACATAAAGTTCCTCAGGTTCGCCTTTGGAGAAAGGGCGTTCCAGTACAGGGTCCTTCCCTTTGGCCTCGCTCTGGCACAGAGAACGTTCACGAAATGTGTGGATGCAGCTCTGGCCCCTTTGCGGCTCCAGGGCATCCGTGTTCTCAATTACCTGGACGACTGGCTCATTCTAGCCCAGTCCAAGGAGTTAGTTACCCACCACAGGGACATTGTCCTGCGTCATATTCAGTCTCTCGGTTTGAGGATGAACTCGGAGAAGAGTGTTCTTACTCCAGCTCAGCGCACAGTTTTCTTGGGGGTGCGCATGGATTCCGTTCTTATGCAGGCCCGCTTTGCTCCTGCACGGATTTCCAGTTTGACGACTGTAGCAATGTTCAGGGAAGAAGGAGGCGGGAACCGGCGGACAATCAAAATAAAACTTTATTTTAAATGAAATAAACACAATCCCTCACGGAACTGCTGGCTACCCAAAATAAAATATAACTACCTGCCAGCAGCCCCTCACGGACGACTGCTGGCTACCAAAATAAAATAAAACAAAACACAAACAAAAGCAGGCCTGTTCCTCTCTCGCTCATACACTTCGTCGCTCCCCCTTTATGCTTCCGCTCCTCCGTGAGAGATGCAACACTGGTGTGCTTCACAGGTGCTGCTCATTAGCAACACTGGTGTGCTTCACAGGTGCTGCTCATTAGCAATCGCACCACCGGCCTCGCGACGTTCTCTCACGTCCCTCGGCCGTCCTGCTCACCACATACCCCCATCACCCCTCACAGGCCGGGGGGTACACCCGAGACTGTGCCTACTCCCCCGCCCCCCCCCCCGGCGGCGGCGATCCCTGGGGGTATGGATCGACAAGCCGAGGGAAACGGAGACGGAAGCATGAGGAGCGACAGATCGAGAGAGGGGAGAGAGAAAAAAAAAAACTTGGTCCTGTTTCCACAACGCGCTGCCATCT